CCCGTCCAGGGGCATAGCGGTTGGTTCTCTTTCCTGATTTACATCATCCCCTGAATATCAGTGACGAGGCAGAGTTGGAGGCTTGTCAGGGGAACACTGCTTCTAATTAGGGCAGGGCTAGATATGGTGAGATCCCAGGAGGCACTCACCTTCTGGAGACATGGGCACTTCTAAACAGGCTGGGGTTGACCTTCCTATAGAGCTTTACTTGGGCTTGTAGATGAAGGATGAGAGGCTAGTGTTTTATGCTGGCTGAAGTCATGCGTGTATGTGTGTGGATGGATGTGATAGGCGAGAGAAAGAGAGGAGAGACAGAGATGCAGAGACAGCTAGAGAGAGGAGAGGAGAAACAGAGAAAGAGGAAAAGAAGCGAGAGTGAGAGAGAGCAAGAGAGAGGAAAGAGAGACAGAGACAGCTAGAGAGAGGAGGGACAGAGAGACAGAGAGAGAGGTTGTGAGAGGGTGGGGAACTGGCCAGGGAGGCAGCTGAGATCGTCATTTTAAAATAGGACAAGAAATTGTGGCTTAGCAAAGTAAAAGGTGGCTAAATTATTCATGGTCTAATGTTATTTTTACTGATTTTTCAGGTACGTACTGGCTCCTTTCTAAAGCTCCTGCTTTAGGGAAATTTTTAAAAGGCGGTACCATGAGTTATGTCTGGGATTTCCTTCAGCAGATTTCGGGGTTACAGCGTAGTTTGTTGCATTCAACAAGTACTTTTAAGGCAACTGCTGTGTCCTAGGACCCTGCTAGGTGATGTGGGAAAGAAATGTAGAAATGTAGAAGAGAAACTGGATACAACCCCTGCCCTAGAGGAACTGACCCACCTGTTGAGGAGACAAGACATAGAAATGAAACACATCTGGGAGAAGATGGAAGACCGATGTCAGGAAAAGTACCAGGGTTTCATTGCCCCAGAAGTGCATTTATTGTGATGTTGGAAGCCATGGTTGCCGCTCTTGGTGGGAGCTCTGTGCCAGGTCTGGGTGACTCAAGGAGAGTGCGTCCTGGAGACAAGCCCCCAGGGGAACCTGCTGGTTTGTACAGGGAGCATCCACATAGGTAGTCATGATCTGAGCTGCTTCACTGTGAGTTCATCCCTGTCACGGCATTTGGATGCTGAGTTATATGACAGTGGCTTCTCTGGGATCCCCACCCAGGAACTCATGTTGGGGGGACTGTCAGCTGGCTGCCTGGCCCAGAAGAAGTCAAGTACTGCAGTATTCTTGTCCCTATCTGCAAAGGATGGGTCCTGACACCGGGACCCATGCTTGTGTAACATGAGGGGTGGAATGCAGGAGCCCTTGGCTCAAGCCCTGAATATATTATGCAGTGGTTGCATGTCATCGGCTGCAGAAAGAAATTGGAGTCAGCATCCTTCATGTTATTGACACTTCTGTGGTGTCCACCTGCTCTTTGGCATTCCTCTTTGTCCTGCCTGATCTCGCTTTCTGGACTCACCTATTCTTTTCCATCTCCTAATCCCCTAAGACTATTCTTCTGATTCTCTGACCTGCTTCTGTGATGCCATGAAATGCTGTATATTGCTCCCACATCTAGATCTCTGCCCTGTCCTCGCTCCTAAACCCAGGTCCCTGACATCTCCGTGAACATTCTGCAGACTCATGAGGTCAGCCTTGGCTTCTGCCTCATACGTTGCAGTTAAAGGCATCACCTTTGCTGGTACCTCTGTGCCTCCCATAATGGGCTGCTGTTACCCCTCTCAGATGCTGCTGGAATCAGTCCTCATTTCCACTCTCACTGCTATTTCCCTCACTCTCAACCTCACTTACTTTTATCTCAATCATAATTTCAGAATGTTCAAAATTATGTATTTGTTTAGCGATAGAACCCCATTTTTCCTGAGCCTCAAACAACCTTCCTTCTAGCTCTAACAAAGACTATTTGAATGGAGAAGCTGCTCTGGTTGTGGTTGGTTTGTGGGTTCTTTCTATCTCTGCCAGAGAAGCCCTGCCCATCTCTTTCTCTACTCCTGCCCCACTGTGGTCCCAAGGCCCCCTGACACCAGGACCTCAAAGAGCATGGCTTGAAAATTACCCCTACCCCCGTGTGACAGTTGATTGTGACACCCTCCTAAGCCATCTTCTTGTTCTTCCTTCACCCAGAGTTATTTCTCTAAAATCCAGACCTGACATGGCTCAAAAGCCTGTTGATAATGTTGCAGTTCACAGAATGAAGCTTGGACGCCAGCACTACTTTTAGTCTGACCCCATATTACCTTTTCTTCTTCATGTCCCTCCATTTTCCTTGCTCCACGCACCACATGCTGCAGTCATGCAGGAATACTTCGATTCCCCAATCCTGTGGGCTCCCAAAGCCCCTATATACTGCTTTGACTTGAGCTGATCTTTCTGCGAGGAATAACTCTGCCCTTGTTTCTCTTCCTGCTGGAAGCCTGTTCAGTCCTCAGGTCTGGTTAGTTCTTGAACTTCCTTCTCATCATACATAACTTATCAATTCTTCCAGTTTGTTCCTACAACAATCTGTGCATGCTTTTTTTTTTTTTTTTTTTTTTTTTTTTTTTTTTTTAATGTACTGATCTCATTGCATTATACTTATGTTAAGGGCAGAGACAATGTCCCATTTATCTTCATGTCCCCATGGCACCCAGCGCAGGACTCAGTATACAGCAGGCATTTATTCCACATTTGTTGAATAAACAAACAATGGAACGAATGAAATGAATGAATTTAACATGCTCATTAAAGTTCACATGGGCAGCGCCCAAAGGCATCGTTTTCCTCCTCTTTCACTGGTTCCTCATTCTCAGGAAGAGTTAGGCTGTGGGGCTGCCTGTGTTCTAGCTTTTATGATATCAATCAGTAAAAGCAGTGTGGTTCTGAGCATAGTGCGCTTGAGCTGTGTCTGATTTCCCATCATCTGCACCTTTCCCCATAGGGCCAGGTACTTTGTTCAGTCCCAGACCCTAAACTTCTGACCTGCAGCCACAGGGATTTCAGGAGCACTGTTCAACATTCAGTCTCTAAACCCCATGCTGATTCAGGTAGCTGGCCTCCTGCTAGCCTTGGTTCCAAGGTTCTGTCCCCACCTTTTGCCCTAGTTTTTGTAAGTGGGCCCTGGTTGTTGTCCCAATTTATTTTATTTTATTTTATTTTTTTTGTGAGCTGGAGTTTTGCTCTGGTCACCCAGACTGCAGTGCAATGGCGCGATCTCAGCTCACTGCAACCTCTGCCTCGCCAGTTCAATCGATTCTCCTGCCTCAGCCTCTCAAGTAGCTGGGATTACAGGCATGTGTCACCACACCTCGCTAATTTTTGTATTTTTAGTAGAGATGGGGTTTTGCCATGTTGGCCATGCTGGTCTTGAACTCCTGACTTCAGGTGATCCACCTGCCTCAGCCTCCCAAAATGTTGGGATCACAGGTGTGAGCCACCGCGCCTGGCCCTATCTTTCAAAATTTGAGACTGTGATTGGCAGTCTGACCTGTACATCATCACTCTAGGGCTGGAGCCCCTCCCTAGCTGGGTGGGTTCCTGCTGCTGAACCCCAATTTGGGGACTAGCACTTTGCTTCCTGTTGCAAGATTTCCTTAGTGCCAACTTCTGAGCATCCCATATTGACATCTTAACATTTTGTGTTTCCTTCCACCCCAGGCCTTTGAAGTTGCTGTTTCCTTTGCCTGCAACTCTGTTCCTGTTTTTCCACTTAAAGGTGGAAAAACCTTTAAGAAGAGGTGCTCCAGCACCTCTTCTTCGTGACGCCTACCTGACGCCTGCCTTCGTGAGGGTTTTCTCTTAGCAGCTTGCATATGTTCTCACGGCCTCCTGAGCTCCCCCTTAATGGCACTTATCACAATTTTTATTTTATAGTCATATGATCATTCATTAATGTGTTTCCCATACTAGTGAGGTCCAAGGGCAGGGATGATGTCTGTTTTGCTCACAATTTTATTGAGCCCTGTGATTAGCATGTAGTCAGTGCTTTATACATATTACTAGATGAAGTGAATAGCTTCGGTATGACCCTACCTGTCCTTCCCACCGAATTCCCGAATTCAACTGGGGGTTACAGAATTAACTGGGGCTGTGTGCAGGCATGCCCCAGATGTGATGCTCTGTCACTAATCTCTGTAAGTCTACACCCAGGTACCACCTTATAAGGCATAAATCATAAAACAAATGTACAAAACGGGACTGCTGAAATTCTCACTCAACATTCTGTCTTGTTTATTGAAAGTCTTTGGGTATGCGTATTTATTACTTACTTTTCCTGGTGTAAGGAATTTTATAGCTATTATATATCATTGTACTCCAAGTTTACTGTGCTTCCTTGAACTCAGAGCCAGTCAAACGTTCATTCCTTCCTGTTAATCGTTTTCTTTTAATCACACAAGAATTCTATTCCTGGCTGGGCACAGTGACTCACCCCTATAATCACAGCACTTTGGGAGGCCGAGATGGACAGATCACTTAAGGCCAAGAGTTCAAGACCAGCCTGAGCAACATGGTGAAACCCTGTCTTTACGAAAAATACAAGAATTAGCCGGGCGTGGTGGCAGGCGCCTGTAATCCCTGCTACTCGGTAGGCTGAGGCAGGAGAATCACTTGAACCTGAGAGGTAGAGGTTGTAGTAAGCTGAGGTTGTGCCACTGCACTCCAGCCTGGGTGACAAAGTGAGACTTTGTTTCAAAGCAAAAAAAAAAAAAAAAAGAATTGGATTTCCTTTGTTGTCTTAGCTTCTGGGGTACTCAGTGCTGAATTTCATATTTAACTGTAGTAATTACCTCTGCTCAGGTACATCTGTTCTCTGTTCTTTTTAAAGTGATTTATTTGTATTTTTGATTTGTTTTTACTGCTCTATTGTGTTATGCTTAATTATTAAAGACAATTCAGACCTTTTTGACAATATATTTGTATATTACATTGTATAAGTTTTAGTTGATATTGTATGTTGCATGCATATGATATATAACATTATATATATTATAAAACCCCAATCTTTCCTTTTTTTATACAACAGTGATAGCAATCCGTATTCCTCATTTGGAGCAACTCTGGCGAGGGATGATGAGAAGAATTTATGGAGTATGCCCCATGATGTGTCCCACACAGAGGCAGATGACGACAGAACCCTGTACAATTTGATAGTCATTCGTAATCAGCAGGCCAAAGACTCAGAGGTGAGCACCTTTTGAAGTCTTGCTGTGTGCAGATGATGCTGTATAGCAAAAAAATAGTAATTCCTGAGAAGTTCAGCTTGAAATAACAAAAAGAATGAAGGATGAGATGTTTGAAATGAAGGGCAGGTATTTCAGCAGCATATATTATCACTGGTTGCTAATTATAGCTAGTCTTGATTGACCTGCTTGATACAGAGATAAGGCTCATTTCTAATTCCTACCTTAATGGCACAAGGCATTAAGGCAATGCTGTTGAAGTGTGTGAAGATAGTTTGCCATCTTAAATGGCTTACCCCGTCCATCTCTAATCTTTCCAGTTGTTTACTAAGCCACAGTTACTTGCTTCAGACTGAAGTTTGAAGGGTACTTTGCCTTATCACTAATTTTGAATTAGTGAAGCCTGAATTAGTTTTTTTCCCCTTGTTTAAAGATCCTTAAATTGTGCATATTGATCAGACAGCAGTGGATCCACTATATATTCGAGATTCTTCTTGTGATAAGGCTTGAACCCTCGCAATAACTCTAAATCCAAAGTGATTAATTTAAGAACACTAGAATATTAAAAAGGAGAGAACTCTGTAAGTTAAGGGAAAACAGCAAAGAGGATCGTAGTCTTTTTCTCCTTTCTTTCAAAAGTCATGTTTGAGTTAGGTTTTCCGACTTCTGTGTTCATCAGCTAGCTCTGAGGAGGAAGCTGTACTAAATATACACTCCATGCTTCTTTGTATAGAGGAATTGAACAGGGTAGGGAACCTTATAGTTGGGTTTAGTATGTATGTTGGCAGCGGGGGGCGGGTGGAGGTGCTGTGGAGCTCGTCTTTTCCTTATCGAGGTTTCTTTATTTTTGGTAATTAATTGCTATCTCCACCCCCCCCCAAAAAAAACATATTTTAGCAGGAGGTGATAAACTTTTAGAAGTGCCATGTGTCCCAGTCCTTTTATTCTGATGTGACTTGGATGCATTGGAGGGGTTAGAGATGCGGATCACAGGGCCGGGGAAGGGCCTGCAGTTGCTTCTGCTCTCGAGGCCTAGGGAAGGGTGGACTGGGACTCCTTCAGTGGCTGCTGTGTAGCATCCCACTAGTGACTGAGCACCCACTACCTCTGGCTGCCCATGTCCCCAGCAAAATCCCCTCTGTGATGGGCAATGCTGAAGGCAAGTCATAAAGCCTGCTGCTGCCAAGAACTGCATTCCCTGGCTGCCCTTTCTGAGCGTATAATTGGGAATGTGTGGCCTTGTTTTCTCTTTAGTGGAAAGAACAAATTCTTACACTCCTGTATTACATTAACCAGCTAAAGTTTTCGCTGGTGAAAACAGTCAGTTCTTCTCTTTTCTTCCTCTTCTTCCCTGACTCTGCCCAAAGCAGTAAGAGCAATATGGAAATAATGTATAGTGTCTCTCTCCCTTTCTCTCTTTCTGTCTCTCTCACCAGGCCCCACGCAAATGTGCAAGGGGCTGGAAAAGGTATTTGGCCTGAATTTGGCAGCTCTCCCTGGAGGAGCTCCCACCTTTCTGCTCACTTATCTTTACTTTTCAAAAGACAGCAGAGGCAACATGAACTACAAAGCCCCTCGAAAAGCACAGCTTCTAAAGTGGCCCATTGTGTCTTTTTTGTGTGATCCTTGGGCCTGGTGTGATGGGTCTTCCAGAAGCCACCGCCTTCGCCTCCACCTCCTCCTCCTCCTCCTTCTTCCTCTTCCTCTCCTTCTTCCTCTTCTCCCTCTTTTTTTAAAAAATTATATTTTAAGTTCTGGTATACATGTGCAGAACGTGCAGGTTTGTTACATAGGTATACACGTGCCATGGTGGTTTACTCACCCATCAATTGTGATTGCTCAATCACAGACCCAGGTCTGTGATGTTCCTCTCCCTGTGTCCCTGTGTTCTCATAGTTCAGCTCCCACTTATGAGTGAGAACATGTGGTGTTTGGTTTTCTGTTCCTGTGTTAGTTTGCTGAGAATGATGATTTCCATCATTCTCGAGAGCAGAGGCAACTGAGAATGATGGAAACCATCATTCATCCATGCCCCTGCAAAGGACATGAACTCATTCATTTTTATGGCTGCATAGTATTCCATGGTGTATATGTGCCACATTTTCTTTATGCAGTCTATCATTGATGGGCATTTCGGTTGGTTCCAAGTCTTTGCTTTTGTGAACAGTGCTGCATTAAACATACGTGTGCATTTGAGATACGTTCCATCAATACCTAGTTTATTGAGAGTTTTTAGCATGAAACGATGTTAAATGTTATCAAAGGCCTTTTCTGCATCTATTGAGATAATCATGTGGTTTTTGTCATTGGTTCTGTTTATGTGATGGATTACGTTTATTGATTTGCATGTGTTGAATCAGCCTTGCATCCCAGGGATGAAACTGACTTGATTGTGGTGAATAAGCTTTTTGATGTGCTGCTGGATTTGGTTTGCCAGTATTTTATTGAGGATTTTCACATTGATGTTCATCAGGGATATTGGCCTGAACTTTTCTTTTTTTGTTGTGTCTCTGCCAGGTTTTGGTATCAGGATGATACTGGCCTCATAAAATGAGTTAGGGAAGATTCCCTCTTTTTCTATTGATTGGAATAGTTTCAGAAGGAATGGTACCAGCTCCTCTTTGTACCTCTGGTAGAATTTGGCTGTGAATCCGTCTGGTCCTGGGCTTTTTTTTGTTGGTAGGCTATTAATTACTGCCTCAATTTCAGAACTTGTTATTGATCTATTCAGGGATTCAACTTCTTCCTGATTTAGTCTTGGGAGGGTGTGTGCGTCCTGGAATTTATCCATTTCTTCTAGATTTTCTAGTTTATTTGCATAGAGGTGTTTATAGTATTCTCTGATGGGTGGTTTGTATTTTTGTGGGATCAGTGGTGATCTCAGCTTTATTATTTTTTATTGTGTCTATTTGATTCTTCTCTTTTTTCTTCTTTATTAGTCTGGCTAGCGGTCTATCTATTTTGTTAATCTTTTCAAAAAACCAGCTCCTGGATTCATTGATTTTTTTTTGAAGGTTTTTTCGTGTCTCTACCTCCTTCAGTTCTGCTCTGATCTTAGTTATTTCTTGTCTTCTGCTAGCTTTTGAATTTGTTTGCTCTTGCTTCTCTAGTTTTTTAATTGTGAGGTTAGGGTGTCAATTTTAGGTCTTTCCTGCTTTCTCCTAGGCACATTTAGTGCTATAAATTTCCCTCCAAACACTGCTTTAGCTGAGTCCCAGAGATTCCGGTACGTTGTGTCTTTGTTTTCATTGGTTTCAAAGAACTTATTTGTCTCTGCCTTAATTTTGTTATTTACCCAGTAGTCATTAAAGAGCAGGTTGTTGAGTTTCCATGTAGTTGTGTGGTTTTGAGTGAGTTTACTAATCCTGAGTTCTAATTTGATTGCACTGTGGTCTGAGAGACTGTTATTATTTCTGTTCGTTTGCATTTGCTGAGGAGTGTTTTACTTCCGAGTATGTGGTCAGTTTTAGAATAAGTGTGATGTAGTGCTGATAAGAATGTATATTCTGTTGATTTGGGGTGGAGAGTTCTGTAGATATCTATTAGGTCTGCTTGCTCCAGAGCTGAGTTCAAGTCCTGGATATCCTTGTTAATTTTCTGTCTTGTTGATCTGTCTAATATTGACAGTGGGGTGTTAAAGTCTCCCATTATTGTGTGAGAATCTAAGTCTCTTTGTATGTCTCTAGGCACTTGCTTTATGAATCTGGGTGCTCCTGTATTGGGTGCACATATATTTAGGATGGTTAGCTCTTCTTGTTGCATTGACCCCTTTACCATTGTGTAATTCCCTTCCTTGTCTTTTTTGATCTTTTTTCCTTTAAAGTTTGTTTTGTCAGAGACAAGGTTTGCAATCCCTGCTTTTTTTGCTTTCCATTTGCTTTGTAGATCTTCCTCCATCCCTTTATTTTGAGCCTATATGTGTCTTTGCACATAAGATGGGTCTCCTGAATATAACACACTGATGGGTCTTGACTCTTTATCCAATTTGCCAGTCCGTGTTTTTTAATTGGGGCATTTAGCCTATTTACATTTAAGGTTAATATTGCTTTCTGTGAATTTGATCCTGTCATTATGATACTAGCTGGCATTTTGCCTGTTAGTCGATGCAGTTTCTTCATAGTGTTGATGGTCTTTACAATTTGGTATGTTTTTGCAGTGACTGGTACCGGTTTTTCCTTTCCATATTTAGTGCTTCCTTCAGGAGCTCTTGTAAGGCAGCCCTGGTGGTGACAAAATCTCAGCATTTGCTTGTCTGTAAAGGATTGTATTTCTCCTTCACTTATGAAGCTTATTTTGGCTGGATATGAAATTCTGGGTTGAAAATTCTTTTCTTTCAGAATGTTGAATATTGGCCCCCACTCTCTTCTGGCTTGTGGGGTTTCTGCAGAGAGATCTGCTGTTGGTCTGATGGGCTTCCCTTTGTGGGTAACCCGACCTTTCTCTCTGGCTGCCCTTAACATTTTTTTCTTCATTTCCACCTTGGTGAATCTTACAATTATGTGTCTTGGGGTTGCTCTTCTCGTGGAATTTCTTTGTGGTGTTCTCTGTATTTCCTGAATTTGAATGTTGGCCTGTCTTGCTAGGTTGGAGAAGTTCTCCTGGATAATATCCTGCAGAGTGTTTTCCAACTTGGTTCCATTCTCCCTGTCACTTTCAGGTACACTAGTCAAACGTAGATTTGGTCTTTTCACATAGTGCCGTATTTCTTGGAGGTTTTCTTTACTCCTTTTCCTTCTTTTTTCTCTAATCTTGTCTTCATGCTTTATTTCGTTTAGTTGATCTTCAATCTCTGATATCCTTTATTTTGCTTGATCGATTTGGCTATTGATACTTGTGTATGCTTCATGAAGTTCTTGTTCTGTGTTTTTCAGCTCCATCAGGTCATTTATGTTCTTCGCTAAACTGGTTACACTAGTTAGCAATTCCTGTATCCTTTTTTCAGGTTCTTAGCTTCCTTGCATTGGGTTAGAACATGCTTCTTTAGGTCGGAAAAGTTTGTTATT